AGCAGGAATTCAAGTTCATCTCAGTTTTCCTCCTGCTTTTCTCTACCTGTTCCTGGGCTTCAGCTGCAGCCTCCAAAGGCAGGTGCATGTGTAAGCTGGGTTTGGTCTCCTTTCTGCAGGAAAATGATTTGAAATCATGTACTGTATGATTCCATGATCTCTCAGAAGAGAGAGCAGCAGCTGTTTGACAGCTCCTCTCTCCATAGGAACAGGGAATCACTTGCACTTGGCATGTTGTTCTGCCAACATACAGGGGATTGCTGGGAACTGTGTGTGGGGACATGATTTCCTAAGCAGGCTGTACCTCCTCCAAGTGACACTGAAGGGACTGGACCAAAGTTTGGCTCCTGGGACAGTGATGGTCAGTGTCAAATAACAACTGCTGGTTCCTCTCCTGAGCCTAATGCTTAGTTCTTAGTTGTGGCCCTACTGGTAACATCTCTTCCCCAGCTACGTGTGCTAAGCAGGGACTATCTTAGTAGCTGAGTCCACTTCCCATCCACCAAAAGCTGTGGAGTTAGCAGGTTGTGTGTTGATGTTGTTGCTGTGAGAGCCAGGAGCCTGGGCTCTCCTGCACCACTGCCACTTGTCCTGGAACTCCCTGAATCCTGCTTGGGAGGGCAGTTGTTGGTTAAGTGTTTAAACTTGATTGACAAAACAGGCTTCAAGCAACCTTTTCTAGAAGAGAGCAAGCTGTTCTGTGTTCCACCCAGCACAGAGGAGGGTGCTCTGGCCTTCTCTGGTTTCTAGTAGTCCTCATGACATTGCTGTATCTCTTGTCCTGCCTGGCATGAGCAAGGAAGTGTCCTCTGTCCTGTGTTGAAATGGGCTGGTTGGAAAGACAGTCTGTCTGGTGAGGAGCAGGGTGGAGAGCTGATCACTCTGCCTCAGAACATGTTGTCCAGGTGCTGCTGAGCCCAGCCCTGTTTCCTCATACAAAGAGGAGGCTGTTTTGACCTTTCCTGTTTTTATTCCTTCCCTTCTACTTGGCTGGGGAAGCTGCACTTTCAACACATTGTACCTTGAGTCAGCAAGAAGCAAACAACAGCCCCACTGGGGTGTGTTCTTGTGGGGAAGCAGAAGCAGTTGCCCATTCTGCCAGGTCTGGTTTGAGATCAGTGGTCAAGACAAGCATCTGCAGACTTGGATTTTGGCCTTGATTTGGGGGCACAAACAGCTTCCCACGTCCCTGACATTCCTTCCACTGCTGCCAAATCTCTGCATCCCTTCCCACCTTCCTGAGCATTTCACCAGCACCCCTGGACCCTGCTCAGTGCTGGGGAACCAAAGGGTCAAAGCAAGAGGTACAATGATCAGGCTCCTTGGCTTCTTCCCTTGCCTTTTCAAGAAAGAGAGTGGGTGGCTGCCTCTCCCTGGGAGGAGGCTTTTCTGCCTCAGCACAGCCCAGTTTGCTGCAGCACCTCTGCTGGCTCTGGCTGCAGCCCTGGAGAGGCAGACCCTGCCAGGACCCTTCTGGCTCCAGCCCCTG